ACATTCTGCATGGAGCACTGGGTGTTATGCACAAACAATGAATCATGGAACACTTCATCTAAAACTAATGATGTAATGTATGGGGGTTAACATAAGAATAAAAAAATAAATTAAAAAAAAAAAAGAATGAACTGATCCATATCTGTTGATATATAATACTATGATATATGTGTTAATGTGTAAGAAAAGCACATTGTAGACTAGAATATGATGCCATTTTTATAAAAAGTAGAAAATATGTACATATATGGACATATTAATAAGAGCCAAAGTAAGGTACAGATAGGTTAACTGGGTAAGCTGAAAAGGATGAGAATGGGGGAAGGTTTGTTGTATTAACTGTTTCTTCATACATCTTGGCACTGTATCCCCAAGTAAAATAAGCACTTAATTACTTTTGCAATTTAAAACATGTAAGAGGGGCATCTGGGCGGCTCAGTTGTTAAGCGTCTGCCTTCAGCTCAGGTCATGGTCCCATGGTCTTGGGATCGAGCCCCACATCAGGTTCCCTGCTCCGCGGGAAGCCTGCTTCTCCCTCTCCCACTCCTCCTGCTTGTGTTCCTTCTCTCACTGTGTCTCTCTCTGTCAAATAAATAAATAAAATCTTTAAAAAAAAAAAGTAAAACATGTAAGAAAGTTTAAATTAGAAAATAGTTTACCATCTGTGTGGAAATAAGGAATTAATTAATTTAACAAATATTTCTTAAACGCCTACTACGTGCCAGGCACTATGGATTTATCCCGGAACAACAAAGATTCTTCACTTATACTTCTGGGGGGTTTGGGTGACAGCAGCAGCAGAGGGGAGGCAAGAGAAATAAATAAATTATATAAAATAGTAGATGATGAGCAGATGATTAGATGATGAGCAGAGAAAAAGAGTAGGATAAAGGGATTAGGAGTGCAGTGGGAGGTGTGGTCCAGTTTTTTCTTTTTTAAAAAAATTGTGATGCAATTGACATTTAACATTTTGTGAGTTTGAGGTGTACAGTTGACATATAACATTGTGAAAGTTTAAGATGTACAGTGTGTTGATTTGATACATATATATATTGCAATATGATTACCACCGTAGGGTTAGCTAACACCTCTGTCATGTCACATAATTATCATTTCTCTTTTCTGGTGGGAACTATTAAGATCTAGTTTCTTAGGA